CCATGAATGATAACTTTTCCGATAGATAAAAATATATATAATGTTTTTTAAACTCAAGCAAGTACATACAATTTACATAAAAATGTACACACACAAAAGCACATGCACTCATGCAAGATGGAGTTAATTTCTAATACCCTTCTAGGAATATTTTTATCCTAAATGCTCATAAAGTTCAAACATTCATGCAAAACATGCACATGCATACAACCATACACACTAGTACAAAATAGAATTTTTTTCATATTTTTCTCTTAAATTTTATGACAATTTTAAAAAAATAAAATTCATCTAAAAAATTGATTTCATAAAAAATTAATAATAGTTTCTGTTTAACTTTTTTAATAATATTTTATCACATTGATTTTATACAACTCTCCTAAAATTACTTTTACTATAAATACACATAAAATTTATACACTCATGCAAAGCATACAAAACATATTAACGAATTATTCACAAGCATATAAACTCATACAAAATAAACTAATTTTATACTTCACTCTTAAATTTTATAAAAATTTAAATTATAAAATGTTTGTGTTAATAAGTAATGAATTTCATAAAAAAAGTAATAGTATTTATTCATGATTTTACAAATATTCTAAAGGCTTAATTACGATAATATTTTTTTCCTGAATTTTATACTACTTCTTACAATTATTATTATCATAAATGCACGTAAAATTCACATATTCATACAAAGCATATACATGCACACAAAAAAAACACACTAATATAAAATATAATTAATTTTATATTTCACTCTTAATGCTATGATAATTAAAAAAATAAAATTGTCTTACTAGGTAATTGAATTCATAAAAGATTAATAGTAATTATTCAAGATTTAATAAATATTCTAAAAGGTTTTTCCATAATGATCTTTTATCAAATAGTTTATTTGTACTAAATAAAATAAGATAGAGTTAATTACATAATAATCTCTTATAATAATTCTTATTCTAAATGCACATATAGTTCACATACTCATGCAAAACATACACATGCACATCAACTAAGAAAATTATTTATTTAAACATCGAGCATAAATAATTTTAATGGATTTTTTATTTATGAAGCATAGAAAATAACTAAAATTATTTCTCTAAGGTACCTCTGAGTATAATTTTTTTGATAAATAAAATATTATACAATATAATTTACACCCAAGCAATCGCAAACGATTTATATAGACATGCACACAAGTACAGTCACTCGTGCAAGATGAATTTAATTTTATATTACTCACTAAAATCATTTTTATCCTAGATTCACATAAAGTTTGTACACTTATGCAAAGTATACACATGCACACATACTCTTACAATATAGAGAAATTCTGCAATTTGCTTTTTAATTTTATAAAATTAAAAGAACAAAATGTTGTGCTACTAAGTAAAGAAATTCATAAAATATAAATAGTTTTTAATCAACATTTTATAAAAATTTCAAAGGGCTTAGTTAAGATGATTGTTACTACGTGGATTTTAGACCACTCTCATATAATTCCAAAATCGATGCAAGTCATTCGAAAATAGTTCTAGCAATCTACTGCTATATTTGTTGGTCAAAGTATTTCCTACAATGTGCCTTGGATATTTACCAAATAGACTTGGGGCTTGTTTTACAACAAGTAGGATTTAATTTTAGAATGATTTACTAAATTATGTAAATTCAAATTTAGTAAATTCTGACTTGTTAAATCATGAAAATTGTTAGGCGTCTAGGGTTTGTTTTTCATCTTCTAAATTTCATCATTAATGTTCAATTTTGTTGCTTCGCATGAGGTAGAGTTTTGCACGAGCCACTTCTTCAGATTTTTCATTGTTGTTCGACTTCACTCCTTCAACATAGTTCACTTCCTGACATTTTCATCAGAAGCAACGATGGGAGCTTGCTCTCTATGAAGGTAACCATCTTTCTCTCTTTCATGCACTTCTTCGACCAAATCCCATAAATTCGCTAAATTTCAAAATTTATTAATCTAGGATTTAGGGGTTGTTTGGCAACAAGTGGGATTTAACTTTAGTAGAACTTAGTAAATCCTTTAAAATCAGATTTAGTAAATCCCGGGGGTGTTAAATATTGAATATTGTTTGGTATACCAAATGATAAATTCTGTTAAATCTTGATAAACTGCTTGGTAACATATTTCAAAATTTATGACAGTTAAGGATTTAAATTTGAAGGAGATTATTATAAATTCAAGATCATTGCATGAAACATAATAAAATCAACTTGAGTTCAAATAATATTACTGAAAATTCAATAAAGAGCAAATGACAAACTAATATTGACCAAAAGGCGAAATAAGAGCAACATTCAATTTTCCAGTTGACTTCATATATGTTGTTACATGTGGAGATAAATTTTGTCATTGCGATCAATTTCTTTAACTTGCAATCTGAAATAAAGAAATTATTATAAAATATAACATAGTTAGAAGTATACAATGCAAACCAAACTCTTACCTGAGCATTCCATAAATCAATGATGATATTATGCCTTATAGCTTCACCATGAATTTTTTCTCTGATTATCGCATGTAAATTAGGATCCTCATAAAAAATATCAACTTACCATCTCGAACATCATTAAGCATTTTCATCTATGAAATATTGAAAAAGAGATTATATTTGTGGTATCAACCAATGAAGTTATGTAGAACTGCACATGTAATGACTATATTTGCTTGAACACCCAATAGAAATTGTCGCATGTGCTTCATAACCTGAAAACATTCTTTCAAAATTTGAAAAGTTCCCTCTGTCAAATTGCAATGTTGTGTGTGTCAATGATTGAATAACTCTTGCTCAATAATGTATCGCCTAGATGTACATCAACGATAATCGCCTAAGTGACATTGATATCCTCGAAATGGTGTAATCAATTTATCAGTATTGGCATAACCTGAATCACCCAAGAAAGTGAGATACTTCAAACTGTCGTTATCTCACCACCCATCTAAACACATGCATGTCCCCATCTCCCTCCCATCCATAAGTTACATATAAAAACTATCGATCAAAGGACACCACAGTCATTACATTCTGCAAAGTATATCCCTTACAATTACGATAACAATTTTGTAGTTCAACTTGAGTAGCATGATGATATTTACAAATTAAATTGGAATAAGACATGAGTTATTATGAAAATAATTAACTTACCAATATAAGACCTATGACGACATAAGCATGATTATTTGCTAAACCGAGCAACACTACTGGTCAATTTCTCTAAAAACATTAATCGAGCAGTATTATGATTGTCACATTATTTAAGAATGAAATGTATAAATCGAGCAATAAATAATTAAAAAATCAAAAATTAAGATAACGAAAAGGTGAAAAAATTTGGTCAAAAATCAATCTTCTATCTACACCATATGGGATTCATCACAGGAAAAAAAGGACGAAAACAGGCATTTGATGCGTATGCAGGCTTTCTAAAGCAGAGAAAAAATTACTTGTGCGTCGAGAGCAACCAAATTGCAAATGCGAACAAAGACGTACCAACACACCGAATAGGAAGACGATTTAGAAAGGATGAGGCAGAGGGCTGGAGTGATGCCTCATTCATTTCGACAAATAAGGGCGAACACGAAGCTTCATGACATAGGCATCGCAAGTAACACTTCTCCGAATTGTAAATAACGTTAAATCCGCTGAACCAAGGGATTTAGTAAATTAATGTCATAAATCCTTAAATCCAGGATTTACCGATTGTCAAGATTTAACGTACACATAAAAATTGTTTGGCAAGATTTAGCATAAAACCCGCTTATATCCAGCTGTAAATGCGATACAAAACAACCCTTTATGATCCAAAGGGGGAGATGAAAGATTTATTCCGCCATAAGATTTAGCAAGCACTAAAATCTCATTGGCAGGATTTGGATTAAATCCTACTTAAATCATGTTAAAAACCATCATTTTGCTTAATGTAATTAAAATCTATATTGCCAACCAAATGAGCCCTTAGATCTATTGTATGTTCTTCTTAAATCTCTAATGATACTAATACTAATTCAAAGTTCAATATAAATGATATAATTTACTCAAGATACTAAAAATCAAGAAACAATCCACAACTTCTATTATATGTACTTTTGATTAATATACTAATATATTCTTGCTCATGATAGAAGGACATGACATTTGCGCACTGCAAAACATTGAGCTGTGTAAGAATATTGAAAGATAAAATTTATGAGAATCCTTGAGGAAAAGTTTCTTCCAAATATTGAAGCTAAGGAAAAATTCAAAGCAACTGAAAGAGTATAAGTTCAAATTAGTAAATCTTCTAAGAAAATATCAACATAAATTCATCAAATAGAGCTTGTCGTGATGGTGAGAATTCAATGTGATTGATACTGTGAGGATTTTTAGACTGTTAAATTTGCAAGTTAATATTTCCCGACTGTTAAAATTGAAGCTAATCTATTAGCTTTCCTATGTTTAAAGGTTTATCCATATTCTTCATAATTCATTGGAAGCTTATATTGACTTGATGTCCATAAAAAAGAATAGTCTGTTCAATTTATCCCTACTTCAAGAACAATGTCACAATATTTGAACTTCTTAGTTGTCAGCATAACATCAAATTCAATAAACCTTATTAGTGAATATATTTAATGAACATTTATATCTAATAAAATATAGTATATATAATTTATGTCCAATCTCTTTTCAACATTTATTTAGTACTTTAATAATTTTTTCCTTCAGAGTAGAAATAAAATGAGGAATTTTCAAATTATAAAATGATTTATTCGGTGTATTAAATCAAATTATAAAAGGAAAAAAATTAGTTCAATACAAAAAAGACAGGAATCATAGAGAAAGCATAAATTAAATGAAAAATAATTAAATATGTCTATGATACATTTAAATCAAATATAGCAGCTGGAGAAGAGGATAAAGAAGCATAAGTGCTACTTAAATATAACTGTTGGGGAATTTGATAAAGTAGAAGGGTTATTAAAGTGAACTTATCTCAAACAAGCGCATATGCAGCTACAGCTAGGCTGTGAATTCTCTACAAGGAGGAAATAGCATCGTGAGAGGGAGATTAGTTCAATACAAGAAAGAAAGGAATCTTAGAGAGAACATAAATTAAATGACAAATTTTAAAATATTTCTATGATACTCCATTCCTTCAATAACTCTGGAAAGTCATCAACCTTCTAATTCCTAATCTATTCAAGCAAGCATAATTCTTAAGTCCTTATCAGATTATCGAATGAAAGCTTAACTTCTGTAGTACATGGACATGAAGCTTACCTGAACTTCTGAATGATTTGGCATTAGACTTTGGCATGCAGCTTCATTAAGATAGACTGCCCATTTCTAATTAGAAAGCAAAGAAAAGTTAGCTAAAGGAAGCAGAAACATAAAAAAAAAAAAGAAGATGCATTGCAGACAAGGATCATTGAAATCAATAAAGTGAATAAAAATTTAAAAATAAAAAATATATAATAAAATCAAAAAAATTTATGATATGATATACATCATGATATAAAATTTTATATCAATAAAAAATAGAAATTTTGTATATATATAGATTATTTATACTTTTATTATACTTGAATTAAGATAAATTAAAAGAAGATATTATTTGTACAAAAAATGCATGATAAATGTGAATCATGCGTGTAAATTAAATCATTATTGAAGGATCGGTCTACTCGTAATGTCGTCAAATTTTCAATGAATATTTCAGCTGGTTCAAGCATTGGAATATTTCCTTTGATTTTTGTCACCATTTTTTCATCATAAATCAATTATAATCATTTCCTAGAAAGTCAGCATTTATAATAGAGAAACAAAAACAAACCCTCTATGTAGTTTTATAATTTAATTAATATCATCGTTAATTTTAGTGATCAAATGTTTTGACTACTAGAGTTAAAAAAAATTCAATATTATTTTATTGATTAATCCTTATACTTATCTATGTTTTCAAATTTCAAATTACAGAGGTTATCGTATTGAATTGTTGAATAAATTCTCACTCCTACATAATTTAAACAAAGTTAAATCCAAGCATTATATTTACAATAAGCTTATGATTGCAAACAATAGTACATTAGTGCTAAGTACTATAAAAGGATTTGGATCTTCGTAGGATATCTATAAAAAATAAATAAACTGGAAGAAAAAATAGTCAAATAATTTACAATGCATGATTCACAAGCTTTATTTTATGATAAAACATCAACAGCCAGCATTTTTAGTCAATTAATTTGGGAAAAGAAAAAAAAACTTTTGTGATCAAAGACACAGGGATGCCTCTAAGAAATGTGTAAAGTGTTTAAAATGTCTCCAGAAAAACCAAGAAATAATATCCTCAAAAGTTCAATCAAGGTGGTATATTTAATCACAAAATTTAATTATGTTCTCCAAAAACAAGTCATTTTTACAGAAAGAAAGAGCTCTAAAAACCCATCAATATTCTTTCATCCATACATTTTCTACATGAAATAAAACATTATTGACAACATTATAAAGAACACAAGATAATATGAAATGTAAAAGCTAGCAGCATAAAACCCTCATCTCTGCACATGAATAACCTGTATAGTACTAAAACACGAACGTAACCAAGTAATCTCAATCAAAGAAAGTTTTAATCTAACCTAGCTACCTTATTCTAATTCAGATCATTAGCAGAGAAGTAAGCAACATGAAAAACCACATGAAGCTATTGATCAAATTCATTGTGTTCAGTTATTGATCGAAATATTTTTCAAGTTATGATAAAACATTCTATAATGAATAAAAGCAATCCTCAATGATCATGAAATCCACAATTAACCCGAATTCATATTTTTCACATCAGATTGACGGATCGGGTCAATATTTGTACATGCCTAGTGCAAATATAAATTTATGCCAAGAAACATAATGCTACTTGTGTTACAAAGTAAACTAAAAATAAAAACAAAACAACTCTAATATATTACATAAGTAAACTAAAAATAAAATAAGAAAAAAAAAACTACATAAGTATACCCTGTCTTGCAATAGATTTATTTATAAAATACTTCTACATATTATATCCACGCAAAGTATACTAATGAAAGGAAATTTTTATATTGACATTAATTTTACAATCAGCTAAACACAAGAACACTTAGAAATCGTATATTATTGTAGGCGACGTGAGCATCTTAGTTGAACCTATTAACTAGCCAGCTTTCTTTTACTATCAAAATAAAAGAAATGATTAAATAATTTTCAGCATATCAAATTCTAATTTCACAAGGTATAAACCAATCTAACAAGGCAATTTTAATATTTAGAAATGTATTCCATAGAGCTAGAAAGTTCTCTTATGGTAATTAAAACTGAAACCACTGCCCCAATGACATGAAGCAAAATCAACAAAGCTCAGTTAGAAAAGTTGGATCTAGTTCACATGTACAGTTACAAAATTAACACCCAAAATTTATATATTTATAAAACTATCTCTTAATAACCTTCATTTATACGACAACCCAAATCTCAAAGAGCACGACTATGTTCCATTAACCCGTCAACCAGTCAGTTTAAAGAAATTCAATCGTTGCATAATTTTTGGAAAATAAATCCGTTAGTTTCAATAACTTAAATGAAATTGGGATTATATTAACAGATCTCCATAAGTAATTGTAATTTATAGCCAAATCGTGAGTAATATGAGTTAATAGATAGTATATGAGTCCTTAAGTCTTGTTTCTATAAATAGTATATTTTTGAAGGAATTAGATATGACGAAATGAAATGTTGCATGCCTCTCTTCAATTAAGTTAACTGTCTTTTTACTCAATTTCTAAATTGTCGACATTCTAGAATCTATTATTTCTTGTGAACCCAACAATGAGTTTGAAACAAAATCATAATAATCAAATTTAAAAAGGATACCATCTCTAAATTTTAAGCACAAACAGTTTGTGAAAATTTAATTTAACATTTGAAGTGCAATAAAATGTTATTACAACATAAAACATACAATGAAGTACATTATAAGGAGCTGTTTGTAGAAAATAAAGTTATCTTCAAATAGCAAAATGCAGTGTGAAGTATAAATTAATCAGATAATTTTAAATAATGTCCAAACAATTTACTACGACAAAAAAGAGAGGAAAATTTTAATCCTACAATATAACTCTTACAGTAAAAAGAACATTGAAGAAAAAGCTTCTGTTTTTACTGATTTGGAAATCCAATGCTTCAAGACCAATTGGCACACGGACAGTTACAACTTTAAAAGTATTTTGAATAGCATTCCTAGAAATGAATCTGAAGATTACACAATTAAAAGCTATAAGACCTTACCTAGAAATAAATTTAAAGGATTTTGGATCAAAATTACAACAAGAAAGAAAGAGCCTTTTCTTTTCGAAATGAGTGTTGGGAATAACTTGAATTAGAACCTGGGCAGAAGTCCTATACAAGAATTAAATACTAAATAATTGTGCATGAGATTTTACGAATAAAAATTGATTCATATAAGATATTCTCAATAGATTCAATGGTTTATACATCACAACATGTGAGTTGAAATAAGCTTATTATAGTGCTTCAAAATAATCATGCACTGGATCAATTATTTAAGAAAAATTAACTTCTTAGGATATAACAACAAAATAATCATTATATAATAAGTCATATAGTAGCATTTGAAAGACCTTCTGAATAAGGTCTAGTTAAAGCAATATAAATTAATAAAGTATTTAGGTTTCATCAATGCATTGGATCACATTTTAGCTTGAATTTCATATCTTTGAAGATATACCTGAGATTCCCTTTGTATTTGACAATCTTAGATAACCCATCACTTAACCCTCTTGCAAAGGCTTGTTGAGTTTGAAAGCAAACCTTCATAGCCTCCATCAGACAAATAGCAATATCAGCAATAAATTAAGCAAAATAAATCAAGATAAATCAAAGTGTTATACTTCACAACATACTCAGGTCCAATAATGTTATAGTAGTATTTCTTAAAGAACTCATAAAAACAATACTTAAATGCACGTTTACGACTATAACCAAGCAGAGTCGGTGCCCAACCCTTAAAGAAACCTTTAACAACCTGCTCTTTAAGAACAACACCAAAACCTGATGATTTATATGATGTCATCATTTTAGCTTGAATTCTTTAGAAACCTTTCAAAACCTGATGATTTACAAAATATCATTATCTCGAATGATCTTATTTAATATTCATTTGCAAGAAAAAGTGTGTTTTGATCAAACACTCACAATGAGTAGAGAAGAAGTATGATGATATAAGCAGTGTAGCATACAAATCAAGTTACCAATTAGAAGCACTTGAAAATGACTCATAAGAAAATAATGCTTAAAAGAAAATAAAAAAGTTAAACATGCCTAGTTGGGATTATAAAAAACCTTAAATTTAGTCATAGCTGGAAAGGTGGTATAATAGTAGTTGGATTGCAAATTGGAATATAAGGGATGATGGTTAAAAACATTAAAGTTTGGCTTACAAATAGTTCCTCAACACCGTACATATCCCAACCCAAGGTGGACTTAGATTACCTTCATTTAATTAAATTTATATTATCATATGGTATTAATAAGTTGAAAGTGATTTGTTGCTAAAAGATGACATGCTAGGCAGGATAACATTAGTTGCATTTAAATAAAAAAAAAAAAACATTATCACTGCTACTCTCTATTTCAGCTGGTTGGC